CAATCGTTCTGGCATTTCAAAACTGATTAACACTGGTTCATTAATGAATATTTTATTCTCTCCTATAAATTTAATATTTTCAATGTTTATATTGGTTAGTGATGTACATCCAAAGAAACAGTATTTTCCTATTTCAATTATACTTATTGATATATTAATACTAGTTAATGACAGACATTCATTAAAACAATAATTTCCTAGTTTAATAATAGTTGTTGGTATAGTAATTTCCATTAATGACGTACAACCTTAAAACAAGATTCTCTTAGTTCAGTTATTTTTGATGGAATTTCTATATGAACAAGTGACTAACATCCATAAAAACATTTATTTCCTAATTCAGTAATTGTTGATGGTATATTAATTGATTTTAATGACAGACATTTATTAAAACACTAACTTCCTATTTTATTAACTGACGATGGTATATTAATTGTTTGTAATGACTTACATTTTTGAAAACACTTATCTCCTATTTCACAGAGTGATGTTGGAAGAATAATGTTAGTTAATGATATACATTCTTTAAAACATTCACGTTCTATTTTAGCAATTGGTGCTGATATATCAACTGATTTTAATGAAGAACATTTGATAAAACGCATGCTTTTTAATTTAACAATTGGACATGGAATAACAATATCAACTAAGTTAGAAGATTCTCTAAAACACCAGTCACCTATTTCAGTAATTGATGTTGGGATAGTAATACTACTCAATGAGTCACAGCATGAAAAACAATCAAATCCAAATTCAATAATTGATGTTGGAATATTAATTGATTTTAATGTTGAACATCTATAAAAACAATAATCAGCTATTTTAGTAATTGATGTTGGTATAATAAATTCATTAATATCTTTCTTTTCAATACTCTTCCCATTTATTATTTCTAAATTTTTTGGTATTTCAAAACGATTTAATACAGACTCATAAAAAATACATTGTCTGTGGTTATAAACTTTGCACTTTCTATATTAATTGATTTTAATGACGAACATCTTTCAAAACATTTATTTCCTATTTCACTAACATTTGTTGGTATATTAATTATTCTTAATGATGTACAATATTCAAAACATTCATCTCCTATTTTACTAACATTTATTGGTATATTAATTGATTGAATATCATCACACCATCTAAAACATATATCTCCAAGTGAATTAACTTCTATTGGTATTGTAGTTCCATATGTATTTCTATCTTCTTGTGTATATTCTATATTTTTACATTCATTCGTTTCTTTTTTTTTTCTCTTCTAAATATCTTGAATAATTCACTTTATACCATATTACTTATTTAAATATTCTTCCATCTTTAAATATTTTATCTTCTTCTTTATAAATATGAAATGTTTCAATATTAGGAAAGAATTTTCTTGGATATTGATTCAATGGAATTGGATTAAAATGAAATCGTTCCATATTCCCTTGAAATCTTTTAACTCTTCTAAATTAATAAAATCATTAATATATTCAAAGTACTTTGACACTATCATTATTTCATTATATCCTAACCTCATTCTTTCTTTATCATTTCTTTTTGTCGTATTTTCCATTCTTTTTTATATTTTCTGTTATTGAGTTTTGAAGTATTTTAAGATTATTATTCATTTTTCTTCTTATTTGTAAGAGGAATTAATTAGAAAATGCACAAGAAAGGTTTTGTAAAAATTGTCTTTTCAAAAAAATATTGTAATTTTATCTAAATTAAATGATAGTTAAAATAACATGAGTATTTTGTTTATTTATTATTTTCATTGATGTTATTTTATCATTTTGAATTATCATATTTGAAAATGATGTGTATTTATTTAATAAGAAATAAATTGTTATTTGTATTTCTATATTTCATCCTTATTCTTGTTATTATATTATTCTTTCTATTATTTTTAGTATTTATCATTATAAATTTCTTAGAATATTGATTATTCTGTCATTTCTATTCATTTTTGATGAATAATTAAATGAACAGTAAACAACAACAAATGAATAAGAATTATGAATCATTTTAATTCATTTATATGAATATTTCATTTATTTACATATTGTTTTATTGTGTTGTTTCAATTAATACAACACTTTATTCTTCATTACTTTACATATTTAAACTGGTTTATTATTCATTTTTAATGTTATAATATGTTTCTTCTTTTTGAAATATCATTCAAAACTTTTTCGTAAACGAAAATAAATAAATATGAATGACAAATATCAATATATCAATCAATTAAAATAAATAATCAACTCAATAATGTTATTATTATAAAAGAAATAAAATGAATATTAAATTTAATGAATGATAATATAATGATATTTTATTCTTTATTTCAATACTTAAATAAATTAATAAAATGTCAAAATGAATAATTCTGATTGAATATAAATTGTAATATTATTTACAATTATAAATATACAAAATCAAACATCATTTTAGTTATTTTAATTAATTAAATATTATAATAATATTTTATCAAGATGATGTTAAAAGACATTATTAATTAGTAACTAACATTTAGATACTTTAATATAACTATTTTAACATTTCAAAATATATATTTCTTCTATTATTCACATTAATATCACGTTATAATATCTAAATATGTTTGGTTATTTAATTATAGTAAATTTAAAATAGATTAGAAAAATTCTCAAATAACAGAAGTTGAATAATAAAAATAATACTTATAGCTTATATCCAGATTTATTAACAAAATGACTATTGATAATATTCACTCTTAATTAAATTATAATATTCACTCTCATCTGTACAATTAAATAAGTGTCAATTTAATATATCTGTAATGTTTTGGTTCATTTAAAAAAGTCTTAGTTTGTTAAAAAACTCAACAAAGTCGTTAACTGATTCATCATAGCATACTTTCTTTTTCTCATATTTTTTTGTAGTTGTAAATATAAAACATGAACGAAAACTGTACATGACTATGTATGGTTGTTGAGAATATATAGTTTATTGATGAAACACAAATACAATTGTTTTTCATTGAAACAAATATAAAATAATATAAAATATCAAAAATGTTTATTAGTCATTTCTTGAGTTACAACCATCCCACTTCATGTACTTCACACAGTTTCAACTACATAATAAAAGATATATTAAATAATAAAATATTCATTTATTAATTATGTAAGATTTAATGTTAATATCTCTCTCAGTATAATGGAATATATTTAATATTAAATGCCATTTAACTAAAGAAGAAAAACCTCAAAAAAAAAAAGAATAAATAAATCATTTTTCAATAATTTTGATAAAACAAAAAAATCAAAAAGGGTTTATATTGGATGAAGACAACAATTGATAAATTTCATAGACAAGCAAAACAAGAAGGATATCGGGCACGTTCTGCTTTTAAACTAATTGACGTTGAACGAGATTTTCATATTTTTGATGGTGTCCATAATGTTGTTGATTTATGTGCAGCACCTGGAAGTTGGAGTCAAGTTTTAAGTAAAACCATAAAAGAACCAAAAAATATTGTTTCAGTAGATTTACAAGATATTGCGCCAATAGAAGGAGTAACATTAGTGAAAGGAGACATCACAAAAGGATCAACAGCAAAGGAAGTAATGTCACATTTTACTGATGGGAAAGCAGATTTAATAATTTGTGATGGAGCACCAGATGTAACAGGAATACATGACATTGATGAAGCAAATCAATGGATATTGATGCAAGCAGCATTTTCAATAATGGCAGTTGTATTAAAACAAGGAGGTTCATTTGTAGCTAAAATATTTGTAGAGAATGAATATCCACATTTATACTTTCAGTTTAAATCAGTTTTTGAAAGTGTTACAATTTATAAACCAGAGAGCAGTAGAAGTAGTAGTTATGGTTTGTTATTATTCTTCCTTTTCTTATTTAGTTATTCATTTAATAGAACATTTTGTTGTTTGTAAAGGATTTAATGAAGCAAATACATGTTTATTAGAAGATGTTCCAGATAATTTAGAGGATTTACCATTAACAAAACGTGTAATGACAAGAGAAATAGAATCTGTTCCTATTCAATTAGAACTTTAAAATTTAATATCTTTAAATTTCTAAAATATTAAATGGTAATTAAAATTAATAAACTTATCAATTTCGGTTATATTTCAATTCATTCTCCTTCTGTCTGTCCTCCTTCTTCTTTTGTTAAATCAGTTACTTCTAAAACCAATCATTTGTCATCAATAAATGAAATTATTAATTCTTGTGACTCAATTCATATACCTCAATGCAAAGTATTATATGATAGTGAAATTGATTGTTTAGATTCTTTCTCTTTATTCTCTAAAATTCATGGAAGAAAAAATATCCATTTAATTGTTAAAACCTTAAACGGTCATTTATTTGGTTCGTTCCATTCATCTATCCCATTTAACATTAAACATGGTATTATTCAAACAGATTGCACTATTTTCAAATTATCAAAACCTCCTTTAGTTCTATTTCCAAATAAACAACTAACTTCAATCCAATTCAATTTTGAAGACAAAACAACAATATACACTATTGTTGATGCATTTTCAATTAGGAAAGAAACTGGTCTTGTTTATCCGACAATTAAACATAATTACCATTCTTCTTCTTCTCTAATCCAAATTAACCCATCAATATTAGCCCAAGACCGTACTTTTTCAATTCAAAGAATTATAGCATTTGAAACTGAAGCAGATAATACTCTCATTAATTCATTACTCTAATTTTTGGTTTATATAAAAAATAAAATAAAAGTTTTAAAACAAACAACACAATTAAAGAGTAGGAGGTAAAAATTCATTCATATTTTTCATTTCCATAACATCAAGTGTAACACTTGGCATTGGCCCTATTCCTTCTTGTGATTGTTGTGGTATTGGAGTAAGAGTTGGCATATCATCAACAACAGGCTTAACATTATCAACATGAATTTCTTTTGTTTTATTTGTTTTAGCAAGTTCAACATATCGAATTTTTTCTGTTTCAGGTAAATCCTTCCACATTGATGACAGCGTTGTCATTCCTTTTCCTCTACTTCCTTTTTCACGAACATTTTCTCTATGGTCTCTACAGAATAATAAAAATGGATTACATTCAGCTCGATTCTTACCAAATTCACTTCTTACTTGTCTTTTTCGTTTATTTCCAATATATTCACCTCCAAGCATAACAATTTGAACTGCAGCTGCTTTTCTAAAATCATCTAATATCTTTTCATTCTCTTCATTTTTCCACATAATCTCAGCTCGTTCATTTGCTTCATCATAATCACATTCTCCAGCTTTAACAATATCTCTTGATTTCCAATAAATGTACAATGCTTGTGCCATTTCCTCAACATCCTCATTTGCAATATCTCTTTTTTTCTTTTTTGTTTTTCCCCCATTTAAATTAATATTAGGTTCTAATTGTTCAATAGGTGTTGGTTCCATTTATTTTTCATTTTTAGTTTTTCTTCCTTTTAATTCTTTTTTCTTATTATTCTTTTACTATTTTTTACTATTCTTTAATGATTTATCAAAAACAAAAAACTTTTTTTTTGCTTTTTCTCTTTTCTTAATTTTTAAGTTCTATCTTTTTTTCTCTTTTTAAAAACAAAATTTCTTTTTTTTTTTTGCTCAAAAAACATTTCTTTTATTTCTTTTTCTTCTTCTCCTTCTTTCCAATAAATTCAACATATTCCTCATCATATCGTTTAAGAATAACCATTATTTGTGGTGAATCTTTTGTGTTGTGATTTATCTCAAAAGACTTTTTGATTGTTGGACATTTCTTAATAAAAGCATCTTCATTTTCAAAAGATACAATTACTGCTTTGATTATTTCTGGATGCATGTCTTTGATAGATGTTTCATTATACATAATACTTCCAATATCTACTTTGTTTAGTGTTGTATATTCAAAATTAATTGGATTTCCTGATTTAATTTCCAAAACGACTTCATTGATATTTTTTATTTCTATTATTTCATCCTCATTGATAATTTTAAATCCTCCATCAAAAAGAATCAATTTATCACAGTTATAATCTTTTATTATTTTCTTTGCCTCTTCCATTTTGATATCTTCTTTGAATAATGTTTGGATTGTAAATCCCTCACTTCTCAAATTACGTGCTAATTTCAATGGCTCTACACTTTTTATACTTGAAACTATCATCATTTGAGAAGTATATTCATGTTGTGAAGTTGGTTGGATTGAATGAACAATTAAATCACATACAAATCCATAACTTGTTTCTTTCATTTCTTTTATTGATTCTTGATGTTGTTCCAGTTGATAATAACACCCAGATAATGGAGTTGATGATAATTGAGAAGATGGAGTAAGTTTTTGTGTTTCATTTGAATGAACAAGATCATTTTGTTTGAATAAATTTAAATCAACTTTTCTATTAGATGATGATTGTTGTCTAGTACGTTGAGTAATATCTTCTTTTGTTATTTGTTGAGTCAATGGTGTATTTACTTTTTGTTCTACTGAATTTGAAATGTATTTTAATGTAGTATTTTCATATGTTGAAAATAAAGATTGACTAGATGAATCAGGTTCTAATAAGACATCAACGGTTGTAGCATATCCAACAATTGTACCATCATTTAAATTCTTAATACAACATAAAAATGCATGTGGACATGTTCTAATTGATTTACATTCAATACAAAAAACATCAAAACATAAATAACTTTCATCATTAGCAAGAAGAGAAGAAATAGTATTATTTTTAATAATTGTTTCTAATTTCTTTAATTTAGGATTAAGTTTCATTAATTTTATTAATTTTGTTGTTTCGTTAGTATTTAATATTTGTTTTAATAAAGGGATAGTGACTGACAAACTTTTAAGTTGAGAATATAAATAATTATATGGTTGACAAACATCAACTTGAACATTAAATGCTTTTGCTAATTCAATAAGATATGTTGGGAAATTATAATGAAGTGAATATGCTGAACCATCTATCATAACTAACATTGACCTTGATAAAAATAATGTTTTTAAAAGAACATCAGAAAAAGTACTTCGATCATTATTTGTACTTGACATTTCAATTCCATATGATTTATTTTTGATAAAAGGTGAATAAATAAAAGGAGAAGCATTTTTACAAGTGATAGATATTGGAGTTATATTAAATTTATAGAGACATCCATTTGAAGCTAAATAAACATTATTATTTTTACTATATTGACATGATGAAATTATATCAGCAGGAACAAAAGTACAATTATTACAATATAAATCATCAATTGTTGTAAAATATGGTTTATATTCATTAACCTTTTTACTAATATTCTTTTGTTGATTGAAATATTCTGTTAATGTGAAAAGAAGAGGTTGTTCTGTTAATAAATTACGAAAAATTTGTTTTGTTTTTGGATCAAATGATTGAACTATAGACATTATTTCTTCTACACTTTTTGCTTTTTGAATATTAATTGTTTCTGGAAAGATAACTTGTAACTTACTTAAAAATGTTGATTTCTCTAATTCATTTTCTTTCATAGTTTCATAGAAATAATACCATCCTAAAATAATCCATAATTTTTTCAATGAAATTAAATCTTTTGCCATTACTGTTGATATTGGTGTAATTAAATCAAAAAATGCTAATTTTATTTCATCATCTTTAATAAAGATATGTTTTAATGATAATGAACCATGACCAATTGACTCTTGATGTAATGAATAAATACTACTTGTTATTCGTATAAACCATTTTCGTGTTAATTCTTTATTTTGTAATAATTTCTTTTGTTGTAAATACCAATTTAAAGGAACTTCAGTAATTGACATTCTTACCATTAAAATTGGTTGAGAAAAAAAGTAATATTGAAAATATTTGTTATGAGTTTGACAAAATTTATATAGTCTTGTTTTTACTTCAGGGACGATATGAACAGGTAGTCTTGTTAAGTCAATATCTTGGAAACAATAAAATTGATTATCTCTATTTCTATAATATGCTCGAAATCCAATCATTTCTGATATTGCTGATGCCTCTTCATATTCTCCTCCTAATTCAAACATAGATGAATTTGATGTTATTGATGGTATTTGTTGTGCTAATTTAATTAATGATGTTAAGTCAATTGAATTATGATTTCTTAATGCTTGAATAAATCCAGTCAATTGAACACTTAAATTCATTCCACCAATTGTTTCTTCAATTAAAGAAGCAATTGCTTCTAAGTCTTTTTTGAGAATACTACTATTTTAATTTTACCTTTTTAGTGATTTATATTATGAATAATATAGTTAAGTTAATAACAAACTTTCCTCTTAAAAGAGGAGAATCTGGATATAAATTCCCTTCTAATAAATATAATATAACCCAATCTGCAACATTAACATTTGATGATGGTGTATAAACAATACTTTCTTTTGTTACATTTCCATGAAATAATCCATGACAATAAAGATATTGAAATGCCTTCATTAATTGAGATAATGGTTGTGAAATATTATCAATATTAAATATTATATCAAATAAAACACTTCCTGTACATGGTTTCATTAACCATATTTCATCATTATAATAACGTACAATAGTATATTTTTCAATATATTTATAATCAGGAGTTTTAAGAACATCAAGAATCTTTTCAATAACTTCTAATTTATTCTTTGTTGTTGATATTCTTAATGTATCATAATGAAAGTCTTTCCATATAGTTACAGATTGACTATAATTTGTTGTACTTTTACTTTCGTTTGTTGAATCTTGAATTGGTATTTCATCAAATCGTTCTAATCGTTCAAATAATGATGAACTACTTTCTCCTTGTTTATCATTCCATTCTTCTATTAATGTTTTAAGTGTAGTATATAAATTAAAGAATGGTGATTCTTCATCAACTAAGAAATTCTAACTGATCAGTTATCATATCTCATTGAAATGAAAAAATTTTGATAATATGACAAACCGAAATCATCTCATTATTTTTCATTTTAAATCTATCAAAATCAATAAAATCAGAAAATGGTGGTAGTTCTATTGAACTTGTGAAATATGGCAACTTACTTTCATCTAATTTAAATGTAAGAATTATACTAATATTTGAATGATGTTCATCTTCAATCGTAGTTTGCCATTCATTTTCTCCAACTTGTTCTACATCATCCTATTTGATTAATGTTATGAATGTTCTGATATTCTTTTTTATTTACAAACTCCAACAATTTCTAGATATACATCAAATTGTTGTTTTAAGTCTTCTAATTCCATAAATTGAAATTTTTAGTTATTCTATATAAAAAATAGAAAATAACAAATACATTTAAAACAAAATGAACTTGAAGAAAATCATTTGAAGCTTACAAAAGTAAATTTAATATCATCTGATAAATATCTTACCATTACTTGTTTCTTAAAAATTGTTTTTGGTTTAAAATGAACTATTTGAGTTGCTAATGGTATATCTGGTGTTATTTCTGTAAATTCTTTAATTTCTTCAATGAAAGATTGTTGTGGTAAATTTGATATTCGTTGTTTTAAAAGATGTTGACGACTTATTTGACTATTTGAGTTTGGTTTAGTTTCTTCTTTTTTGATTTGGTTAAGTATCTCATTTTCTGTTGAAGAATATTTATTACCAAATTCACAAAATATTGTTTTATTTGAATCAACATCAACCACTTCGATTGGTACGTTTCTTGATTGAAATGAAATCTCAGTTGTCTTTGGCTCTTCAAATGTTTCACATGTTATATCTTGTTCTTTAGTAAAACTATCATCTTCTATATTGATAAGTGTTGACTTTTCATTTTGATTATTTTTAATAACAATATGAGTGTGTTGAATAATCTGAAGATTCTCATAGATAATGGCTTTAACTAAATCATCTGGTGTAATTCTGTAATGATCAATTGAAAGATCATCCGTTGATATTCCATCCTCAACATAACACACAAATTGCCTATTAATACCAGACTGTCCACCACATAATCTAACTAAACCAGTTGTATTTTCATCTCCACCAATGAATGACCATTGATTAAATAAATGTTTTCGTTCATCATTACATGGAACTTCTCCATTTTCTGGATATTCATTTGGAGGGAAAAATTCTTTTTCATCAGGAAATGAATGTTCAATATCTTGTAATGCTGAAAACCATTTTTGAGTAATGAACTTTTTTCCAAAAATTAATCCAATTGCAGTCTCTTCAAGTTCCATAATTTGTTTACAAACAACGTGAGAACAATCTTCTATTTGCTCAACAACCATTCCAAATCGAAGAATTTCTGTTTGGACACGTTGAGGAGGAATAATTCCAAGACAATAAAAGTCATAGTTTGTATATTTTAATTCGATTTCTTTTGGCTCTGAAGCAAGTTTTAAAATGAATCTACGTTCTGTTATTGTATAATGACGAGATTTTTCTAAACGTTCTGTACCACCAAAAAAAGTACCATAAGTAGATAAATCAGTAATTCTAATTGGATGCATTCTTAAATGAGGATCATAATTTTTGATTTCAATGTGAAGATGAGTTCCACTAATACTGTGGTGTGGGAGGTGGATCAAAATGAAACCATCTGGTGCATTTCTGTTTCTACCAATTTGATATTTTTCATTACAAAACAAGTTGAGTGGTTTTGGAAGAGAAGGATGATAAAGAGTCCAAACCATGAATAAGGAATGAGGATGAATAAAAAGAAGAAAAGAAGAGAAAAAATAATAAGAAAAGGAAATGAAAAGAAAGAAAAAAAAAATAGTAAAAATATAATAAAACAAATGATAAAAAACAAAAAAGGGTTTTAAAGGGTAGGAATAACTAAGAAAATGAAGAGGATTTTGTCAAAAGATGGGAAGAAGACCAGGAAGATGTTATAGACTTGTTAGAGGACACCCATATCCAAAATCAAAATATTGTCGTGGTGTTCCAGATCCAAGAATCAAATTATTTGATATTGGAAACAGAAGTGCACCATGTGATGATTTCCCATGTTGTGTACACATTGTAGGACTTGAAAGAGAAAATATTTCATCAGAAGCTATGGAAGCAGCACGTATTTCAATTAATAAGAATATGCTTAAATATGCAGGTAAAGACGGATTCCATGTTAGAATAAGAATTCATCCATTCCATGTTCTTAGAATTAATAAAATGCTTTCATGTGCTGGAGCTGATAGACTTCAAACTGGTATGAGAGGAGCATGGGGTAAATCATATGGATCATGTGCTCGTGTTAAAGTAGGACAAGTTCTTATTTCAGGAAGATGTAAAGAACAACATCTTCCAGCAATGATTAAATCATTCAGACTTGCATGTTACAAATTTGCAGGAAGACAAAAACTCGTTATTTCCAACAAATGGGGATTTACTAAATACACTAAAGAAGAATATCAACAACTTAAGAAAGATGGAAAGATTATTGCTGATGGATGTTACTTCAAATTAGCTACAACAAAAGGTCCACTTCCAAAAGTTAACTAAGTAAGAATTGCCTCTTTGTTGTTTGGTTTAAGTTGATAATTTTTAAAGTAAGATTAATATAAAAGAAATATGATGATAATAAGTCATAAAGAAGTAAAATAATAATTATAATAAATGAACTGAAACAAGAAATTGATTAACTTGGAAATTTTAACTAAAATAAAAAAAATTTAACGAAACAGTAAAAACAGTAAAAAGCCCTAAAAATCTGGGAAATCATCTAAATATTAAAGTTTGAGAAAAGAAAAATGGATGAACAAGCATCACGACAACTTATGAATCAAATCAGAATGGTAGAGCCTGATATTGGAATTATCAATATGCCACAAATTACTTCATATATTACTCAACCACCTACTCCTTATCATATCCATCAAGAAAAAGGACAAACAGAAATAGACCAACAACAATTACAAAGAGCATTAGAATTTGAAAAAGTACCAGAACCATTCATAGAGAAAAAAGAGAGAAAAAAAAGAAAAGGAGATCATAAATCAGACCGTCGTGAAGAAATGTTAAAAGAGATTGCACAAGAGATTTATATTAGATGGAAAGTAAGAAAATTATTAAGAGAACAATCATATGATGTTGAAAGGGCAGAAAAAAAAGCAGAACGAAGATGGAGAAAAGAAACAGCAGATGTTACTCGGTTATTTTATAAAGCTGCAATTATGGAAAATACTATGCTTGGAGATGAAGAATCATTAGGAAGGAAAAAAAAGAAAGAGGCTAAAATTAAAGAAGATTGTCATCCATATCTTTTATTCTGTAAAGAGCATAGAGAACAATTAGGAACAAAATATAATGGAAAAGAAGTATTAACTATTTTATCTGAAATGTGGAAGAAATTAGATCCAGTAGAAAAAGATAAATACAATTTATTAGCGAAAAAAAATAAAATGATTCAAACAACACAACAAGAATCTCAAGTCCAACCACCTCAATTATTGTTTACACCAAATTTAATGGAAATAAAAACAAATGAAATGATGCCGTATCAATAACCAAAAGATAATTTTTGTTTTTAATTTACATTTTTTTTAATTTTAACAAAATAATTCATTCATTTTATAACAAAAAAATAAAAATTGAACATTAATAAAAAAATAAAAAGAATTTGAATAGAAAACTTTAAGCATAACTTGGGAAAAGCTTTTGGTCTGAGAAATACTTAATTTCTTCTTTCACAAGTTCAGTTGTAACTTCTGGATAATCATAAACAAATCCTTTCTTTTCAATTGAACTTCCATCAATACAATATGGATTGTTATAAAGAAGTTCTTGATCAAGATATGGTGATAATGGTGTTCCAATAAGATTTTCTTCTTTACAAAGTTGAGACCATGGTTTCATATGTTCATCATTAACAGTTTCACAAACACCATCCATTCCAAGTTTTTCTGCTGCTGTAGAAATAATTGTTCCTTTAAATCCTGTTTTAATTTGGAAGATTTCTTCAAGAATAGTATTAATCTTCTTTTGATTAGTATCATTCTTATCACAAAGATTATAAATTTCTCCATTTTTAATTGGTCCATCAACTTTTCCACATAACATCATAGCTTTACAAACATCATGAACATGAACAGTATTTAATTTCATATCTCCTGTCCATAAAAATTCCATTTTCTTCTTAGTATATTTATAAACAGCTGCACAAATAATTCTTGGTGCAATTCCTGTAACATCTCCTGGTCCATAAATAATAGCTGGTCTTAAAATAACAAATGGTAATTCTTTCATTCCTATAAGTAATTCATCTGCTTTAGCTTGTGATGCTGCAAGTTTAGTCCATGGTTTAATTTTAGCTTTTTCGTCTTTTGGTTTAGATGATGAGTCATAAACTTGTGCATTACTTAAATGAACAAATCTCTTAACCTTTTGTTTAACTGCTTCTTCTGCAACAAGTTTAGTTAATCCATATGTCTTTTGTTCATACATAAATTCTTCTTGTCCAAGTTTAGTTTCAGCTGCACAATCAAAAACAACATCAAATCCTCCTTCAATACTAAACATTTTACTAACACTTGATGCATTTACTAAATTTCCTTGTACAAATACACACTTCTCTGGATTATCATAAACTGATGCATGTTCTTTACTAAGATATGCCGTTTCTGGGAAGACTTTATCTACTGATCTAATGAATGAATACTCATTACTGTCAACAAGCATTTTGACCAAATTTCTTCCAACAAAGCCAGTACCACCTAATACAAGTGCTTTCATCAATCAATTAACTTTTGTAGTTCTTCTTTTAGAGTTATTCCTATCACAAGATCTATTAATTCTTTTTTTTATTTTTTTTTCTATTTCCTAATTAGTCTGTTTTTAACTAGATTTTCTCTTCTTTTTATTTTTTTTTTCTAACTTTTTTCATTTAATACAAACAATTCTTTTTACTTAAAAAAAACTACCTTTCATAAAGTGATATTTTTTTATTTTATTTCTCGTGATTTGTTCTTTCTATTTTATCATTTTTTAATCTCTTTTCAACTATTTCTTTCTATCACAAAAATTAACACTCATTGTGCTTTATGTAAATAAATACAAACAATAAACCAATAAAAAATATTTAGTAAAAAAGTATTATTCATTTTCAATCAATAAAATTCTGTTGAGATATTAATTTTTCTTTTTAGTAAGTCTATCTAATACTCTCATATTCTTTGCCTTATCACCTCCTTTAACAAAATCTGATTGTTTTAATTTTCTCTTCTTTGCAACAATCTTTTCTCCTGTTAAATTCTTAGAGAAATTACCCATAGATGCTGATGACCTTTGT